AAAAAAAAAAAAAAAAAAAAAAAAAAGATGTACTTAATGAAATAAAGCAAGAAGAAAAGATTAGAGAAAAAAGAATGAAAAGAAATGAACAGAGCTTCCAACGAATATGCGACCATGTGAAAAGACCAAACCTACGTTTGATTGGTGTACCTGAAAGTGGTGGGGAGAGTGGAACCAAGTTGGAAAACACACTTAAGGATATCATCCAGAGCTTCCCTAACCTGGCAAGACAGGCCAACATTCAAATTCAGGAAATACAGAGAGTACTACAAAGATGCTCCTTGAGAAGAGCAACCCCAAGACACATAGTTTTCATATTCACCAAGGTTGAAATGTAGGAAAAAATGTTAAAGGCAGCCAGAGAAAGGTTGGGTTACCCACAAAGGGAAACCCATCAGACTAACAGCGGATCTCTCGGCAGAAACCCTGCAAGCCAGAAGAGAGTGCGGGCCAATATTCAACATTCTTTTTTTTTTTTTTAATTTATTTTTCAATGAACTGCACTACTGTGGAAATATTCAACATTCTTAAACAATTTTCAACTCAGAATTTCTTATGTAGCCAAACTAAGCTTCATAAGCGAAGGAGAAATAAAATCCTTTAAGACAAGCAAATGCTGAGACATTTTGTCACCACCAGGCCTGCCTTACAAGAGCTCCTGAAGGAAGCATTAAACATGGAAAGGAAAAACCAGTACCAGCCACTGCAAAAACATACCAAATTGTAAAGACCATCAACAGTATGAAGAAACTTCATCAACTAATGGGCAAAATAATCAGCCAGCATCATAATGACAGGATCAAATTCACACATATTATTAACCTTAAATGTAAATGGGCTAGTCTCGAGCTTCTGAGCTGAGGTGATCCTCTTACCTCAGCTTCCCAAAGTGCTAGGATTACAGGTGTGAGTCACCATGCCTAGACTTGTGTTAGCTTTAAGCAGGATAAAAAAAACACAAACTAAAATTATGAGATACCTCTGTACACGCACTAGATTGACTAAAATTAAAAAGATTGACTATACCAAGTTTTGGTGAGGATATAGTAAGAAATCAACATAGATTGATTTAATCTATGGCTTCTTGTAAGTATTAAGGCTCTTATTAAATCAGTCTTAAGCTTTCTTTTTGGACTCAGAATATCAGTATATCATTACATCGTATAGCTAGTTATTCTTTTTATCTGCTGTAAGGTCAAACTGGAACAGAAACCAGAACTGTAGATTTGGTTAAAGTATTTTGCTATTTATTACTTCCTGGCTCCATATCTTCAACTAGAATTCTTTTGGTGGGAATGTAAAATGGCTAAACTGCTTTGGAAAGCAATTTTGTAGATTTTTTTACTAAGCTAAACATATAACTCAACAATTTCACTCCTAAATATTACCCAAGAAAAACAAAAACATACCCACCTAGAGACTTGTATGAATTGTTTGTAGTTACTTTATTTATAATATCAAAAATGGAATATTACCCACATGTCCATAAGCAAGTTATGCTATAGTCATACAATGAAATACAGTTTAACAATAAAAATGAACTGTTGATGCATGCAACAAAATGGATGAATCTCAACCATCTCAATCGTTAGAGTGAACAAAAGAAAGCAGGCAATAAAGAGTTATTACTCTGTGAATCCATTTACATAGAATTCAACAAGCAAATTAATCTGTGGTGACAGGTCAGTGGTCCTTGGAAACATGAGGGGAGAAAGACATTACAAAGGGACACAGAGAAAATTTGGAGGATGATTGTGACAGCTTCACAGTATTAAGCTGTGATAAACTTTTAAACCTAATCAAATTTTACACCAGTATGTGTAGTGTATTATTTTTCTATCACTGCTTAATGAATTACCACACATTTAGGCTAAAATGCCTTCTCATAGTTCTATAGGTCAGAAGTATGAGTAGGCTTGGCTAGGTTCTCTGCATAGGGACTCACAAGTCCAACGTCATGGCACTGACTAAACTACATTTCTTTTCTGTTGGCTCTGGGGAACAATCAGCTTACAAGCTCATTCAAGTTCCTGACAGTTGTACAATCTTAAGCTTCCCTTTTAATGTCTAATAAGTACAGAGGCAGATTCTGTTTTTCCTGATGGATATAATTCTTCAATGAATTGTGAATTTTTCTGTTGGATTGTGAAGACAAAATGAAAGTTTAGAAGAATTTTGATAGGATAGATATATATGAAATAATAACAGAATTCCAACTGAAAGAGAGTAGTTAGCCAGAGTAAGTTTTTGTTGGATTTGATATTACGGTTCCTGGTTCCTGGTTTCCAGGTTCCTGTTTTCTTCCTGGGTGTCAGAAAAAGATTTCTAGCTCCTAGAACTGCTTTCAGGTTCCCTCTATATTTAAGCTAGCAGTAACTGCCATGTCTCCTCCCTCATGCCTCAAATCTTTGCCTTCTTTCTCTATTCAGCTGGAGAAAGCTCGACTTTCAAAGGGTTTGTGTGATTAGGTTAAGCCCATCCATATAATCTCCCTATTTTAAAGTCAGCTGATAATTGACCATAATTTTGTCTTCAAAACCTCTCTTAAAACATACTATAATCATAGGAATAGTGCTAGAGACTGGATATCATGGGGCCATATTAGATTTCTGCCTGCCACATGCTATATATTGTGCATCACTTATACCTCAATAAAGTTTATGTATTTTTTTCTAAAAACAGGACAAAAAGATATAATAATATGTGCATATAATGGGATGGTTGTGACACCCAGATATAAGTTGATTTTTCTCACTGATTTGATTTGGCATAGCATTTCCATGTCCAAATCGGGAAATAGAACTAAGATAATAATTTACTTACCACTTGTTCTATATTTTTTATTTTCTTTCATCTATGATGATTAGGAACAGTAGAAAGGTGACAGGTCATTTTCTAAGTTTTTAAAGTTTACTCAAAATTGTCAATACTGTGCTTTAATTTAGATCTACCAATATAAGTGTAATATTTAAAAATTACTATTATGTCATTAAACTTGTGCAAGAGATGTATGAATGTAAGTGTGCATTTTGTTAATCCTGTTATTTAGACCAGTCTTGGAATTCTTGAGTTTATAGAATTCTTACATTATAGAATATGGGAAATACTGTTTTTATAAAATATAGGATGTTTTATCTCCACATTGTTTATTTCCTATAAAGGATTAAATCAAGAGTAATACATTTAATATTATAATTATTTAACAGCCAAAGGTTTTGGAAATTAAAAATTTTAGAAGACTAGATGAAACTTTAGAATGAAACGTGGTTAGTCTTACCTGGTTCTTCAGGCAAGTGTTACCAAGAATGTCAAACAACTGGAACTCTCATAAGTTGCTGACGGGGGTATAAATTAGTTCACTTCCAAAATTATTTGACAATATTTACTAAAGCTGTATGTATGTATATGTATATACGCCCTATGACCCAGTGGTTTACTCTCTCTGGTCATTCCACGTTTACTCCTTAATACACATTAAAATCTCTTTAAGATCAAATGTTTGTCATCTTCTACTCCTTTTTTTTTTCTTTTTTTTTTTTGAGACAGAATTTCACTCTTGTTGCCCAAGCTGGAGTGCAATGGTGCCATCTCGGCTCTCTGCAGCTTCCGTCTCCTGGGTTCAAGCGATTCTCCTGCCTCAGCCTCCTGAGTAACTGGGATTACAGGTGTACACCACCACGCCCAGCCAATTTTTTGTATTTTTGGTAGAAATGGGGTTTCACCATGTTAGCCAGGCTGATCTCCAACTCCTGACCTCAGGTGATCTGCCTGCCTGGACCTGTTTTTCAAAGTGCTGGAATTACAGGCGTGAGCCACCGTGCCCGGCCCTTTTACTTTTTTTTCAGAAGACTTATTTGTTCCTCATTGACTACCAAAGTTCAGAATCTTCAATTTGATTGCTTTTTAAAAAATATTTTATTCCTACTTCTGTTTTCCTTTCAAGCAAGTGTCTTTATTTTTCCTCTCTAATTCTCGACTTTAAAATATCCTCTCTCCAAGCCATTTTATTCATCATGGATGTCACTGCTGCCCAATAGAACTTTCTGCAGTAAAGGTAGTGTTCTATAACTATCCTGTCAAGTATGGCTGTTGAGCACTTGAAATGTGGCTAGTGTGACTGACAAACTGATTTTCAAATTATTTACTTTGTTTTAATTTAGCCACCTGTGGCTAGCAGTTAATGCATTGGGCAGCACAGGTCTAAGTAAATACTGTCTTCCAAAACCCTTTAGCTTGTTTTGATTTCATTCTCTCTACATACGTAACACTTTATCTTAGCCTACTTTAGACCTTAGCTATAGGTTCCTTTTTATTGTTTTACATTTTTGTTACATATTTTTGCTTCCTGATTATTTTGTAAGCTTCTGGGTGGTAAGCCTATTTCACTTCTTTTCTATTTCTTTTACTTTCTATGTTTTAATCATAATATGTAATCTGTAAATAGTGAAGAAAGTAGTCATCTCGGAATTGGGGAACATTATTTATTATTTGGAGCTTCAAAATACCATGGAAAATCTTTTAGGGTAATGTGAAATTTGGGAGGCCGATTTGTCAAGAATACAAAAATGGATTTAAAAACATTAAAGTAATTGAAAAGGGCATGGTAGCTCACACCTGTAATCCCAGCACTTTGGGAGGCTGAGGCAGGAGTATTTTTTGAGCTCAGGAGTTTGAGACCAGCCTGGGCAGACAACATAGGGAGACCCCCTTCTCTACAAAAGTAATAATAATAATAATTTTAAAAAGTAACAGATTAAGAGGGTAGGAGGGTGCTGAGGGATAAAAGACTACATATTTGGTACAGTGTACACTGCTCAGGTGATGGGTGCACCATAATCCCAGAAATCACTGCTAAATCACTTATCCATGTACCCAAAAATCACCTGTACCCCAGAAACTTGAAGAAAAAGTTAAAATTTATATACTGGCAAAAATAGAGCAAGCAGTAGATGCAAAACCTGGAAACAAAATCTAGTCTCATCTGCCATTAATTTTGTGAACTTAGAGAAATTTCTTACCTTTCAGGTAAATTTGCTAATCTACGAAAATGGGATATGAATTAATTGGTTTTTTAATATCTCCTCCAGGTTAAGATCCATTCTCCTTTCCTCCCTTTCTCCCTTCCCTCCTTCCTTTTTGACAGAGTCCCCCTCTGCCATGCTGTCTCCTACAGAAAGAAGATGACTAGACATTTCATATGAATTGTGGGGCATTGGAAGGTGAAATGCTAGGAATATTGTGTTTATCCTGGCTCTCTAGTCTAGAAGTCAGGTGGACTGAAGTTACAGGGCATAGAGAATGGCAACGATGTAGGGGAACAAAGCGATTAAGTGAATCTAAGATTTCTCCTTGAGACTGAAATTGGTAAAGTGGGCATATGCCATGCAGAGTAATAAAATACAAGGAAAAAAATAAAAGGGGAAAAAAAGAAACCCACTAAATGTTGTCTTGCTTTCTCAATTAATTTTGGCTTTAAAACTCATCATTCTCCCAGTACCCCATCCCAAATACCATTAAATTACTCTCTCCATGAGCCCAGTTACTTGGTTGTACGTATTACTACAGTTAGTCATAAATCTTTTTCTAATCCTTTGTGGCGGGGGGGGGTCATGTATTAATATAATTGATCTGCTTTAGAAATAATTTTCAGTTTTTGGCTGCCTATAGAAAGTTTCTTAAGCCAAGAACTTGGTGGTGATCTAATCAACCTTCAGTTCTATTTCTTTCTACCTCCAGGATATGTCTTGAGTTGACATGCTTCTGTATCACTGTCGTCTAGTCCAAATGACTGCCATCTCTGTCACTGTACTACTTCATTCATCTTCTGTTTGGGGTCCACCTGCATTTATTCTACCATTCCCCACTGCCCAAGTCTCCATAGAACAATTAGAATGAATAGTCAGTCATTTCTGGTCTTGGCACTATTTTGCTTAAAATCCTTCAAAGGTTTTCCATTAGAACAACATAGAAAATCGTCAGTACGACCTCCAAGGTCCTACCTAATCTGACCCCCTGCTAACCCTAGTGTCTCTCATTGCACTTCAACCCATGTTAGCCTGCTCTCATTGTTATTCCCTGTCTACCTTTAATTCTAAGAATGAAAACGCACATGCGGACACTTCGGTTTCCCTAGCTTAGCTAATAATCCTTTTGTTCTTAATTTAAATGTCATTTCCTTAAGGAAACAGGTCCGCTTTTTAGTGCCCCATACTTTTACTCCATTACACTTATAAGTGTAATTAGATGCTAGATTCTAGCAAATACATGGGGGATTGTTTTCTTTTGCTCACTCCTTTATCTTTAGCACTTGGCACACAGTACTTGCTTCACTGATGTTCAGTAAGTGGATGGTTAGATGAATGAATGGATGCCAATGTGTCAGTATTGCCATTTTTCATATAAAGTATAACATATTTGATAGGTATATATTGTTTTTATAAATATTTTTAATATGAAGAACACAATCTTGTTTTTTAAGTAGATTAATTCTGCATTTGTGGTTTAGATACCTCAAACTTCAATTTTAGCATCTTTTAAACCACTAAAAATAAACGTGGTAGTTGGGTGCAGTGACTCATGTCTACAATCCTAGCACTTTGGAAGGCTAAGGCAGGAGGATTACTTGAGCCCAGGAGTTTGAGTACAGCCTGGGCAACATGACAAAACCTCATCTCTTCAAAATTTAAAAATTAGCCAGGTGGTGTAGTAGTCCCAGCTACTTGGGAGACTGAGGGTGGGAGGATGGCTTGAGCCAGGGAGGTCGAAGCTGCAGTGAGCTGTGATCATGCCACTGCATTCCAGTTTGGCTGACAGAACAAGATCTTGTCTCAGAAAGAGAAATAATAGCAATAATAACCTTGGTGCAATATTATGCTTGTATAATGATTTGTCAGGTAAGTTTTCAGTAGTGGTTATATTAATTTAAAAGAAATACAGATTTTCTTTTGAATTACATAAACTATTTAGTGGATTTTATTACTAACTATACTGAGTCAGCCTTCTTTCCACTTTATAGGTGTCTAATACTGTTTATTATTTCATTAGCATATCTTTGCTAATGAAATGAATCTTTGCCTATGAATCTTTGCCTTCTTTCTCTGTTGTAAGTTGATTTTTCTCACTGATTTGATATGGCACAGCATTGCCATGTCCAAATCGGAAAATAGAAAAGAACTAAGATAATAATATACTTACCACTTTTTCTATATTTTTAATTTCTTTCATCTGTGATGGTAAGAAATAGTAGAATGGTGAGGATGTAGCTAAAACTCAAACATAACAGAAAGAGGTGATTTTATAAGTTTTTTAAGTTCACTCAGAATTGTGATTAACATTGTGATTTAATGTATGACTACAAATATAACTATTTAAAAATTAGTATTTTCTTGACTCTATCAAAAATATTGGTGTTACGAATTGCTGAGTATACAGCTTATTTCTTCATTTCCTTTTTACTTTAGTTTGCTTAGCAATATATTATTTTCAGCCTTAGTAGCCTATCAAAACTTAAGGCTTTGCTGTTGTGACTTCAGGTGACATAATTATTTATCTATATATTTATTTTTGGTAAAGATAACACTGTTCCTAGGGCAATTTTTTAAAAGCAAGAGCCAGAGTATCTCAGAGCAAATGACTGGCGATGTTCAGCTTGATGAATAGCTCTTTAGTCCTGTGAGTACCTACATTTTCCTGTGAATCTCCTTTAGAAATTCATAAGTAGTGAGTAGTTTTAAAGTTTGCTACTCACAACAAAGGGGAAATTTATTATTTTTATATATTTCTGAGGTTGTTTTGCACAAGAAGCACAAGCTTCTATTTCACTGGTAAGTGGAGTTACTTTTAACTTCAGTCTTTTAGTTTACAATAATGAAACAGTTTGAGATAATATGCATTATAGATTTAGGGAAAAGGTAAGTTATAAAATTCTGTTTCTGATACACTTCTAAACAATAACATTTTGAATATATTTTATATTAAATCCCCATTAAAACCTATGGTTTTACATAATTGAAATATGGTTTAAAATTAGATATAATGTATTTTTTAATGTATAGTTCATGCATTCTTATTTCAAATTTTTATATTTAATTGTAGCTGTCACAATTATAAAGTATTTTGTCATTGGCATGGAAGTTTATTAGGAAAATTATTTCTATGAAGAGCAAAGCTCTGTTTAAACATTCTCATACTCAGATTTAACTGGCCTATTATGCATAATTAAGTGGCTTCTATTCTGAGGAAGGGAGAACATTTCTTAATAAGTATTTGCTCTCCCCAAAATTCTTAATGTATTTGAAATACTGAAATTATTTTTATTAGAGTCCTTATTTTAATCTGTTCCTTTAGGTCACATAATATAATCTTTTAGTGTAAATAAGTAATTTAATACTATATTATGAAAATTGAAAATTATATTTCTATAACACAATTTTTTTTAGTTAATATTAATGTCATTTATAAAATACTGAAACACTTTACATGATCATAAATTATTTTATTGATGAATGTAAAGAATTAATCACTTGTCATTGATAATAAAATACTTTTAATTCTTATGTT